GGCCCCGCCCGAATCGCTTCGCACCTTGGCTGCGCGCAGGATGTCCCACGACAACACGGTGAACGCGGCCGTCGAGGCTTCATCGCCGTGCTCCAGATCTTTCGCCACCTTCTGGCGGAGCAGCAGATCGCACGCATATGATACCTGCACGCGGCGCGGCCCCGCCCGCGCAGCTTCGGGCAGCAGCCCAGCCGCTTCGCGCCTAGCCTTGACGCCCCCGTGCTCTTCACTCACGCGCGCGAGCTGATACGTGCATCCCAGCAGCACGACGGAATCAAACACCTTGGACAATATGCAGCGAAGCCCCCACTCCATCACGTGGGCCTCGCGCGACTGGGCCCGCGCGGGCGCTCGCGTCCCGCCGCTGCGCGCGCGGCCTGGAAGTGCGCGTAACCGAGAAAATCCATTCGGTCCAGGGATGCCCCCGCGCGGTTAGCCGCGGTGATGGCCGACGCGCGATCGCGCCACGAGCCTGGCCCCGCTGGCACCGAATCCAACCTCGGCGCCCGCGCCCATTGGCGCTTGCAGTGGTCCTGCGCGCGGAACGGAGACATCGGAGCGGGGATCGGCCGCGACGCGCGGCGCCAAGCCAGGGCGCCTGCAGGCTCTCGCCCTCGGCGATCCCGACATACGAGCGGCCTTTCTTCTGGGCCGTTCGACCCGCAGACGCGAACTTGCGCATCGACTCTTCCGTCGGCAACCCTTCGCGGGGGAAGTTTCCGAGCCAGACCTCGCGCACGCGGTCCTGCGGAAGCGCCCCCCCCCTTCGCTCGGCGGCCCCCGCGCATGCGGAACACGCTGCTCCTCCATGGCGAACGCCAAGGGCTTCTCTTTCTTGTCTTCCAGCAAATCCTTGCTGGCCCTCACGTAATCTTCCATGGCTGCCGCGATACGCGCCGTTTCCTCCGCGGGCTTGGCGGGCGCCTCCGCCGGGGCCGATTGCCCGCCGCGGCGCCGCGTCGCGCGCCGACCCGCGCCCGCGCGCGCGGTCGGGGCGGGGGCCCGCGGCCCGAAGGTCGAGTACGCCTTCGACTGCGCCCGCAACGCCACATTGACGCGGCACGGCTTGATGGCGAAATCGCGCCACTCCGCGGGTCTGCCTTCCGCGAACGGCTTCGCGCCCAGCTTGGGGGCCGCAATCAACATCTCGCGCATGGATGCGCCCGAGTAGTCAATCGGGCGGACCGCCCCGACCGCTTCGGCCATGAGGCTCGCGACCGCGGTGCACAGGAACAGCGGTGCCTCTTCCCCGCCCACCGCGTTGGCCTCGGCGACGAAGAGGACCCAATCGGCCTTGCACGCAACGCAGGCAGGGAGGCCCCGCGCGGGATTTCGCACGCGAGCCCTGATGGCGGTCTTGTCGGCGCCGAAAGCGCCAGCAGGCAAACCGCCAATCAACTCGACGATTTTCTCGCGAGGCAGCGCCATGGTCGCTTGGCGCGCGCTGGGGCGCGTCGCGCACGAGCTAATCGGCTTCCCTCGCGCGCGCTGGCAAGAGCCAGCATACGGCACTTCGCAGGCATGCTGCAGATTGGGGGCCGGCATACGGCGCGCGCGCGCAGGCATATTGCCGCATCCGCAGGCATACTGCGCCATGGGGAAGGGCCGGCATACGGCAAGTCGCAGGCGTACTGCAGACTGGGGGGGGGGGGGCGGCATACGGCGCGCACGCGCAGGCATCTTGCCGCATTCGCAGGCATACCGCGCATTGGGGAGGGGCCGGCATACGGCACGTCGCAGGCATACTGCAGACTAGGGGGCCGGCACACGGCACGCACACGCAGGTATATTGCCACACTCGCAGGCATACTGCGCCATGGGGAAAGTCCGGCATGCGGCCCGTCGCAGGCATACTGCAGACTGGGGGGGGGGGGGGCGGCATGCGGCACACACACACACACGCACACACACGCAGGCAGACTGCCACATTCGCAAGCATACTCCTGCCGACGCGACGCGCGACGGCAAGGAAGGAGGGGGTGGCCGACATGGCACCCGCGCGCACCTCGTGAGCCGTAACAAAGACATATAAGAGAATCCTGACTTTTCGACCCCGGCAAACGACGAGGGAATCATCACCTGCGCGGGAAATCCTGACCTTTCGAGCCCGGCAAAACGACGAGGGAATCATCACCTGCGGCGGGGGGGGGAGGAGGAGGGGGGAACCGGCGAACAGCGGAGGCGCAGCGCGCGCGCGGGGGGGAAGAGGGGGAACCGGAACCTGCGCGGGAGAAGGAGGAGGAGCGACGCCGATAGGGCCGCCAGCGCGCGCGCGCGGAATCAATTAGTCAAAGCAGCAAGGCACGCGGCGCGTCGGCGAACGGCGCTCCGCGGCACGGGGGCCCGCGCGCGCGCGGCGTGCGACCCTCGCCCAACTCCCGAGCGCGGGGCGCTAGACCTTTCTTTCCTGTTGCCCCGAAAACGCACCCCCGAATGCGGGACGGCCGGGCGAATCCCGAATCGCGAAAGCCTGCGCCGCGGACGCGCCCGCGGGCGCGCAGGGGGGGGATTCGCCTCAGCCAACACTAGCCGTCCCGCAGCATCGGATGAGCAAGAAGAATAGCATGACAAGGGCCGCACGCACCGCCGCGACTTCTCCCCGCGCCCAAGAGCTGCCCAGGGCGCCCATGTAAAGAAATGAAGACCAACCGCCCCCCCACCCCCACCCCCCGGACTTAATGCCCCCCTACGCCAATTCAATGTACACATGATTCTGCCCCGTCGCCCATCCTACATGAATCCATGCCAACCCAGGCAGGCCGGCATCCCCCCCGCCCCCGCCGCCCCCCCCCCCCCACCACATCTTCTGCAAAACGCACCATGCACGCATATTCGATTATCAAAAACGCTCAGTGGTCAAGAACCCCTTACGCAACACAAAAAAAAAACTACACAAAGTGCACGCGCGCGTCGTCGCGCGCATGCCGAATTCCCTCAAAAACGCTGGCTTGCGCGAGGAATGCAAAATCGAGCGCCCCGAAAACTTCTTTTTTATATGAAAAAGTTCCGCATCACGTTACATATATAGATACATAAATGTGTGTGCATATATATATATATATATATATATATATATGTATGTATGTATGTATGCTAGAAACAAAAACTGCGCTCGCGCCCTTGCAGTCTCTTAGGGAAACCATAGGTTATGCTACATGCTCAGCAAGTGCTACCAAACGCGCCACTCGCGCGAGCACGTCGAAATCGCCCGCACGCCCTCGCAAGCGCGCTGTCACGAGAATGCCTCGCTAAAAAAAACCGAGTGCACGCGCGCTCGCCGTCGCGCGCACGACGAAATTCCCCCCAAAAAAAAACGCAAGTTTCGCAGGGATGTCAGAATCGAACGCCCCGAACACACGCACACACACATTTATAAATATATGGGTGCACGGGCATATCGGTCCCCCTGGCGTTCCTGCCCCGAAGTTGTAGAATGTTATGTTGTGATTGCATGCGTACTCTTCTATTGTATGATGTTGTGTTGTGGTTTGCAGTTGTTGTGTTGTGTTGCTCCCGCCTGAGAGGCCAACTCCAGAGCGCAGAAGCAGAGAAGCAGAACTCCTGCTCCAGAGCAGAGACGCAGAAAACCAAAAAAAGCAAAAACAAACAATAAAAGCAAAAAACGCAATACAAGCAATGTTCTGGGATAGTACAGACAGCGAGGCGAATCCTTGCGAAACATTTCATTTATTGCTTTTATTGATTTTTTTTTTTTTTTTTTTTTTTTTTTTTTTTTTTTTTTTTTTTTTTTTTTTTTTTTTTTTTGGTTTTTCTTTGTTTTCAAAGACTCGGCTCCGAGAGGCCATTCTGATTGGGCGGGCGAATGGGAGGAGGGGGAGGAGGAGGAGGAGGAGGAGGAAGAGCAGGAGAGGAGTCTCGTGGAAGAGGTCAGGGGAGGGGTTCGTACTTGCGGCGCTGAGCCTTTCGGGGCTCGTGCCAGTAGCGCTGAGCCCTTCGGGGCTCCTGCTGTCACCTCGTGCCCCCTGCTGTTCCCTCGTGTCTCTCTCGTGCCCCCTCGTGTCCCCCTCGTGTTCCTCTCGTGTCCCCTCGTGCCCCCCGCGCGTGCGATTCCTCTGGGCCGTGCTTCGGTGCGTATCCACTGGGGCGCATACGTGCGATTCCTCTGGGTCGTGCTTCGGCGCCTATCCACTGGGACGCATACGTGCGATTCCTCTGGGTCGTGCTTTGGCTTCGTCGTTGAGGGCATCCCTTTTTAGGATGCCCCTTATAAGCAACGCCCCGCACTGTTTGACGGCACCCGTGTTTGGGGCGCCCCAAACGTCGCAACGTTGAGGGCATCCTTTTTTTGGACGCCCTTGGTGATGGGGAGGAGGACGAGTATGAGTAAGAGGAGAAGGAGGAGGAGAAGGAGGAGGAGGAGGAGGAGGACGAGGAGGATGAGAAAGAGAGGAATGAGGGATGATGGTGATGATGATGATGGGGAGGAGGAGGAGAAGGAGGGCGACGATGATGAGGAGGAGGAGCAGCGCATCAAGGGAGGCATTGATATCCGTACCACCAGGGCGCCTCCTCCTCTTCCTCCTCCTCTTCCTCCTCCTCCTCCACTTAAATTCCCTATTCATCACGACGCCGTAGCCGCCCTGGCCCAAACTTCCCTCGAGCAGCGGGCTCCGCCGTGGCCTTTGTGGAACAGCTCAGCCCAGCTCAGATGGGACAGACGACAGTAGCGCCGATCGGATAGCACAGCACAACGGGGAACCCCAAAAATGGGTTCCCACCTCCGCGCCCGAAAACACTGCCGTTTGTCTGCACGTGATTTACTGCCTGAGCCAGAACCAGAGCCAGAACCAGAAGCTGAACCAGAGACAGAACAATAACCAAAGCCATAACCAGAACCAGAACCAGAACCGGAGCCAGAACCAGAGCCAGAACCAGAGCCATAACGATAACCATATCCAAAGCCCCATCATATACAAGGGCATCCTAAAACGGGAAGCCCTTGCCATCCCACAGGGAACCGACGCCGACATTTTGCTTTTATGGGGCAGCACACTATGAAGCTTCTGCCCGCCGTCCCTACAAGGAGTTCCGTAGTGCCCGATCGGCTCAAGCTGCTTGATCGCACGCGCCTCTCGCGCCGACTCTTCTCTCTTGCGGCTGCCATGGCGAGGGGGAACGTGATCCTCCCCGAGACCCTCCGCGAGACTCTCGGGGACGCCGTCGGGGACGAGAGCATCAATTTCGGCGAGGCCCTCGCGCACGCCGACGGCATGAAGCCCCACTTCCACGCTGGCCTCCCACGCGGCCACGTAGGGCAAGAGGGGCTATCGCAGATCGCGGATCTTCCTGCTGCGCCCATGAACGTCCACGCAGGCACGAAGATCTCTTACTTCGGGGACCTGCTGATGAACCAGGCTTACGGGGAGATCACGGGCACTGACGGGAAAACGGTCGGTGTCCTCACTGACTGGAAGGACCCCCAAGGGCAACCGTGCCGTTTGGACGTGGTCAAGGACCTTGCCACGAAGTCCAATTTCAGCGGCCTCCCTCCACCGTTCGACCTCAAGAGCCAACCTGGTGGGCCGTACGTCATGCAGATCTTCGTCGTGGGCGCTGGCGATGGCAAAGTGAACATTTTCAAGGGCGTTGACCTGAAGGGCCAGTTCCTGAAGATGGCCAACTGCGAGCCCATGTGTCATGGTACGGGCGTCGTGTATCAGTATGGGAACCAGTACAGAGCAGGCCGCAATGCGATCTGTTACCTCCTGGAGAAGCTCGGCGGCCTACAGATTCGCTTCTCCGCGCTGACCGCCACGGCAAAGCCTGCCAAGCGCACGACCGAGTGGGATAAGAAGCAGGAAGGGTACCGCTACATCGAGAAGAAGGGCCCGAATAGCAACAACCGCAATCAGTTCATGGAGTTCGCGGACAAGGACAGCAGGGCCGAGGAACACGGCGCAACCTTGTTCGCCGCATTGCCCCCTCTCCCCCCGACCCCCATATTCGGCCGCGCGGGCCTTTTGACCGCCGAGCGATTGCGGCTAGCCAAGCAGTGCCGTTGTTCCCCCGCCCCCAGGAGATCAACGACCCGCAGTCGAAAATCTACGGTTGGGAGGAGTCCCGCGTGGTCCAGGCGCTGCGGAACCACGCGAGCGGGCGCATCAACGCCAAGCGCCTCTCTGTCTGGGTGCTCACGCTGAAGGGCTTCGAGCCGTGGTTCATCAACGAGGTGCTCGTGAAGATCCTGCCAACTCTCCGCCGCAACGGCGTGCTCTGGATCGGCAAGACCAGGGTGGGGAAGTCGACGGCGTCGAAGACACTTGCGTTCTTGATGTCCATGATCGAGATCGATGCCCTTGGGGGCGATGACAGGGAGGGCGCGCCTGAGCCTTCAATTGTCGCCGCCAAGCATTTTGATTTCTTCAAGGGCGAGCCCGTGGAGAGGGTGCTGCCCGCGGTGTTCGACGATGGGGACTTGCACAAGCAGGACGCGTCTGTGCTGAAGGCCTTCCTCAACCCGAGCGAGGAGGATTCCACGCTGTGGGCGAGGTGGGGGTCCAGCACGTTCGCCCCAGGGGCGTCCCGCCAGGCCGTGAACAACAGCTACGACAATGCTTTGGAGAAGCGGTTGGTGGCAGAATGGCGCCAGGGGAAAGCCATGGAGATCACGATCCAGCAGTTCATGACTCTCATCGCGCCCTCCCTGAAGCAGATCACAGAGGAAGAGGACATGAAGGCCCTGCTCGCGAGGTCCCACGTCGTCGTGACCACGGACGCCCGCGTGTACTTCCGCTTGGCATCAGATGAGTTTCCAGAGGACGGCGTCGTGCCCTTTTACACATACAGCAAGAAGTCAAAGCCTGACCTCTTCAACTACTCGCCCGAGGCGCGCGCGTGCTTCGGCAGGTACAAGGACGACCCGACCTCTCCGAACAACTACCCGTCCGACTTCAAGGAGAAGGCGGAGTGGTCCTTGAATTTCGCGAAGCGCCTGATGCGTGGCGAGGACGTGCCCACCGTGTCGATCACCCGCGGTGCCTCGCTCTTCGGGCAGCCCGTGCATAGCGTCCAGCCAGCGGTCGTGCCACCGCCAGTGGGCGGTTCAGGCAGTGGCGCGGCTTCTTCGAGCGGCTTGTCAGGGCCGTCTGCGGTCGCTGGCACGGGGTGCGCTGGCGAGCTGAGCAACGTGGGCGCGGCGGAGCAGCAGGCGATCTACGCCGCGATGCAGGAACAATTCTTCGAGGGCAACAAGAAGGACAGCGGCGCGTTGGTGGACCTCATGTCGCCTCCCCGCAAGCGCCTGGCGACGGGCGCCAGGGCTCCCTTCGGGTGCGGCGGCGAGCTCGGCGACGTGGACTTGGCTGAGCAGGCCGCGATCTACGAGCAGATCCAGCAGGCGTTCTTCAACCGGAACCAGGTTGACTCTGGCACGCAGATGGACCTCACCACTCCTCCCCGTCAGCGCCCTGACACGGCGGGCGACGACTTCGACTTGCAGGCCGAGCTCGAGCGCCACTTAGACATGGAGGAAGAACTCGAGCGCCAGCTAGCGGAGGAAGCCTGCAATCAGGCGGCAGAGGACGCCGCGGGCCAGGGCGACGCCACGGAGGAGTGAGGTGTTCTGTGAGTGGGGTGCCAATGCGCGGGCAGTGTTGCCGCTTTCGGCTCGGGCAATGACGGGGCGCGCGCCGCCGAGGGGGCGCGCGCCGCTGGTGCCCCAGATGAGCCGATAGCGCGCTTCATAGCCGTGCACATATATAGTTTTCTTCTCGATGCATACACGTCTTTAGATTTCATCCAGACCGTTGGGGGACGCGCTTGCAATCATATATGCGCTGTCGGGCCCGCTTAGCCAAAAAAGGTCATGTCCCATCATGGTGCGATCCCCCGTGGGCCCTTCCAGCGATCGATTGTAATTTGCTGGTGTCCGCCGCCGCATTGGCCCGAAGCGCGGCGTTCTCAGAGCGCGAGATCGCTCCGGGCGCTCAGGGCCGATCGCGCCGCCGCGGGGATGGGGCGGCTCGCGCGCGCGCCAGGCCTCGTCGGGGCCCCCCCGCCCACGTTGCCCTTCAATCGATGGCAGCGGGCCGTCCGCGAGGAGTGGTTCGAGACTCAGACTGCCTTCCTCGCCAACGTTGTCTACGCCAAGGTTGACTTCCCCGAGGCGCTGACGGACGCCGTGGAGGTGCGGGCCATGGGCATCTTTGCGCACTACGGCTTGGTCAATGTCGTGAAGAAGTGCCCCGTGTGCGACGCCCCCGCGGTGCTGGAGGAAAGCTGGCGCTCCGACAACGGCAAGGTTCGCTTCAAATGGGCTTGCTCGTCCCATGGCCACAAGCACTACGACGCGGCAGTCGCCGGCGTCGGCATTCTCAAGAAAGTGGAAGTGGGGTCGTGGATGACGTTTCTGAACTTCATCGCGCTTCTGCGCGCTGGCACCCCCCTGCATAATATGTACGCGGAGCTGCGGGCCGCGTGGGGCAACTGCAGTGACAAGAACTTCCGCAGGTGGAAGGACATGTACCAGGGGGAGCTGAAGAAGGCCAACGAGAAGTTAGACTTGATGAAGATCGGCGGCCCGAACCACGTGGTCGTCATGGACGAGACAGTCGTCGGCGTCCACCCCGACGATGGCTTTGAGTCTCTCACTCACAAGGGAATTCGAAAAGGGGCTCCACGTGTACGTTCTGGCACACGGTCGCGGCCCAAGGTCCGCGCGCGCATTGCCAAGGCGCTCCCCGCGCGGACTATCTGGAAGGGCGACAAGCCGATGAAGAGTGCGGGGGTAACCAGAGGCAAGAAGAACGTCGTCAAGAGACGCCCCGCTGCCATGAAAGTGAAGAAGACGATCGTGAAGCGGCCAGCCGCGCGCGGGGGGGTGCGGGGCACGAGCGCTGATCCCCGTTCCAACGGCCGCTGGTTGTGGGCAGCAGTTTCCGTCGGCAAGGGGACGGAGAAGTGGGCGCACGGCAACGGGAAGAAGCGCTTCGCGTGGCGATTCCTTCCATCCCGCTACAACGCGGAAAAGAGCAAGCCTCGCGGCTTCGAGGAGATTCGCAAGACCATCGAGCAGCACGTGGCGAAGAAAAGCATCCTGGTGTTCGATGGCTGGCTCAGCTCGCTGAAGGCGGCCCAGGACTTGGGTTTCATACACGCGCCCCCCGTGGTCCACGACGTCGGGTGGCGCGACGTGGAGACGGGGTGGCATTCCAATGACATTGAGAGCGAGAACAACCGCTTGAAGCATTGGTCCCGCGTCCGATACAGCGCCCTGAAAATCTCCGAGCTGGACATGCACGAGTACGCATACTACGTGAACGCAGGGGACACGATGGCGGACGTGATGCTGGGGTTAGCCGTGGCAGGCGGGGGCTTGGGCCGCGCGCAACTGATTTGATTAGGCGTCGGCAGTTCAGTCTGATGGGGGGCGCCTGAGTCGCTCGCGCTTGCTCTGATTGAGTGAGCGTGAATCTGAAAAGCACGCGCGTGCAAGTTTTGCTTTGCTTGGTTGGTATTCAAGTCAGATGGGGAGATGGGCGTATGCGTAGACACACGCATCTGTTCTCATATGTATATGTGCGTACATATACAGATGCATTATGCGAGGGTTCGTTACATTGTAAGTGAGTAATTCAGTGATAAAGTTAAGAAGAAAGGTAGGGGGACCGATATACCCGCGCGCCCACATATATATATATATATATATATATATATATATATATATATATATAATATATATTCAGTTTTAGAAAACTGATAATGCAACGCATTGTTTTTTTGGTCTCTTGCGGGGCGCCCGATTCTGAAGTCCATAGGACATCTCGGGCATGTGATGGATCTCGGCATGCGCGCGCGACGACGCGCGCGCGTGCATTCCGTTTTATCTCGCAAGGGATTCGTGCGACCTCGCGTGCGCAGAGGTGTTCGAGCGACGTCGACATGCGCGCGCGAGAGGCCCACTTTGCAGCATGTTATGAACATGTAGAGACCTATGGTTGTCTTACGGAGTTGCATGAGCGCGAGCGCAGGAGTTTTTTGAATATCCTTGTTGCGGCACCACATGTTTTTTTGTTTTCGGGGCCCTCGATTTTGGCATCTTTGTGAAACCTTGCGTTTTTGAAGGATCTCGGCGCGCGCGACGACGCGCGCGTGTACTTTCCGTTCCTTTTTTTTTGCGCGGGACTGTTGTCAGTTCATGATATTTGGTAAGCGAGTGTGTGCGCGCAGTTTTTTTCCATAGGGTGAGGTGGGAGGGGTACTTGCCCGTCTGGGATGGTTTGAATTCAGATTTAGTATGGGCGATGGTGCAGACTCGTATGTGAAGTTCAATGCGACAAGGGGTCACGTTCTTTCTGTGATATGGAAGATATTCGCTGGATCTTCTTTACTCGCGCGGCAAGGTGCGTAGCTCTAAGGCCAAGGGCCCTAGTCGATAATAAACGGCGGCGGCAGGGATACATATAGACAGAGAGAACACCAATGGGAGAGCGGGGAATGGGTGAGAAGACCAGCGAGCCTTCTGGAATCACACTCCTCCTGCACGGCGCGAGGGTGCTCGAGGTTGAAGCGTCAAAGCAGCCTGGCATACAAGTGCCTGGCTCTTCATTGGGCGGAGTGCCAGGCATGCTGGCAGAAGGCGAGCATTCGGCTCGACACAGATTCAAGGTATCCTTAGCTCTCAGCGCCGCCGTCGCTTAATTAAAAAACAAGCTTAGCAATGGCAAGAGTTCGATCGCGAAGCGACAGAACTCAAAAATAGCCATCTTATCGGGATAAGATCTAAATGCTAAACGGGTGTGATTGTCATCACATATAAAAGCTGTACACACTGAATGAAGCTTCGAAGTGCGGAATTACGTGTACATCTTTACACCAGGTGTGACATCTGAGCAGCAATGCGGACTTACATAAATATTTAGCCAGGTATGAAGTCTGAGCAGCAATGCGGACTTACATAAATCTGTAGCCGGGTATGAAATCTGAGCAGCAATGCGGACTAATGTGTCTGAAAATCGAGCAGCAATGCGGACTTACGTTGTATAGCCGGGTATGAAATCTGAGCGGCAGAATATTTGCCGGTTCGATCGGCCAACCTGCCGTCTGGAAACCACGCGGGGTTCATCTTTCCTTCTTGGGCCTCATCGATTATCCATCAGGTCGGATCCTCGCCAGCAGTCTCTGCCTGTGAGCTTCCTCCAGCGGCCCATGAGATCGTTCATCACGCTCTCCGGGAAGATCGTGAAATCGGGGTTGCTGCAACGGTAGTGCTGGAGCAGCCACGACGCATGCTTCTTGCAGGTCTTGCAAGTGATGTAGACACTATGCGGGTTATGCCCGATAACGACATCATGATGAGGAATGCCGGTCACGCAGGTGAGCATGTTGTTTGGCTGCACTGTTGGTGAGGAGCCGTTCCACGACACAACACTGGCTGACGTGGCTGACACACTGAGCTCGATGAACTCATCACAGTGACGACGCTTGGCGATGCAGGGGCCGAACTTCCCTGAGATCTCGCTGATCTTGATCGTCCAGATCCCCGTGCTGATGTTGCGGTACATGGTGATGGCGGTGCGCTGGCAGGCGGTGGTTCTGGCGGCAACAGTGGCGGTGGCGGCTGTTGAATCGCAGCCGATGCTACTGAACTCGATGCCTGCGCACTGCTGAAAACGTCCGCGTGGGACATCGTGATGTCACCGTCGTGATCACGGTCCATTGGGATGGTAGGTGGTATGTTGCGGCGCCGGCCAAGCATGCGGCCGTCCCAGCCAGGGTGCTCGCCCATGGCCTTCGCCTCGGCGGCGCTCTCCTCGGTGGCGATCGCGTTGTTCTGCCTCATGATCGTCCAGAGCGTCATGAAGATGCCGAAAACGATAGTCATGCCGAGGACCAGCGTGAACGTCAGCAGGCATATGTAAAAGCTGTTGTCCGGCAAAGTCGGCGTAGGCGTAGGCAGTCCTTTGACTTTGCCGAGGCAGGTGAACAGGACTGAGGCGAGCATGGCGGCGTGCGGCTGCCGGGTCCCGTAGGTGTGCTTGCGGGCCCCGAAGAACAACAGCAGGACGCCCACCTCCATCGTCTTCGTCAAGGTGTCCGCGACCATGGCCCAGGTCGGGATCCAGCTGAGCTTGAGCGCGCTGTTGGGGTACACGGCTTCTTTGATCATGGAGGCGACGATGCGGAACCGCTTGCCCGTCGACTGGCCCACATCTGAAGCGATGTGCGTCACGAGACCCTTGCTGTCGCTGTAGATCTCCCCAGGGCGCTTGTCGGCGAGCACGTCGATATGCTTGAGCGCCGTCTTGGGGTTGTAGACCTCGGTCAGCAGCTGTCGGAACCAGATGTTGGTCTCCGATCCCTCGAGGGTGGCGTGGCCCTCGGAAGCGAGGGTCGACTTCACCGACTCTTGACTGTGCCAGAGCGCCAGGCGGCGGGCAGGCACAGGTCGTAACGGCCGCCGACGACGTCACGCGGGCGATGGGTGAGCCCCATCACCATGCCCCACTGGCTCTTGGCGCCGTCCACGTTGGCGAACGCGGCGTCGCTGAAGCACGCGGTGATGGCCGTCTTCAGGTCGACGAACTTGCGCTTGAGCACGATCGCGAAGTTCGCGGT